TCCAGTTAATATTTGGGGGAGGATTTCCAGTTGCATTGCAGTGAAGAGTCGCGTCATGTCCCTCAATGATTGATGTTGGACACTCTAAGTTTAGAACCAGAGGTTCATCTACAAGGAGAATAAAATCAAAGTAACTAAAATATTAAGCGTTTGAGTACTTAGTATCGCTGTATTGTGCTCGTTACGTTGTAAATTACGAGCTGAAATGGTGCGAAGTCTCGATCACGTGGACACGTAGACAACAATAGCGTGCTGGGAGAATTCTTGTCCTCACACAAAGCCTACACGCCGGTAGGACTTTGGGCACAGTTTGTCCTGTTACTGAACACAAGGTCCTAAACAAGTTTAGCGCAAGATTTTGGTAGAAAATGGGATGCTTTCTATAATTGTATAAATTAATATGCCGTTTGGTAGTTATTTTCTTAAATTGGACACAAAAAAATTAGATCGTGCACGCTGAAGGTGTTTGTGAATCTGAGAGATTAGAAATCCCACTATTTGGTAGAGAAAGACGGTTGTTACAGGTTTTAAAGGTCTTAAAAAGTTCAATTCATTAGCAGATCCAGAGGGATGTCTGGGAGGTCCGGACTCCTCTCACCCCATTTCTCTCGTCAGACCCGCGGATTCTTTCACCACTTGTCCCTCACCAAAATTCTTTCAGCAACAGGATCGCATATTACTCCTCATCTGGTTTAATTTCTTTAATGGTCTATTGCTGCTTCCTTTCATTAGTAGAATTCATGCACGCGGTGAAGTGTTGATTGATCACGAGGTGTGGCGTGTGACCACGAGTGAAAGGACTTGGTGGGGGGAGGGGGAAGCGGGCTTTGGTCTTAATACATTAAAGTGAAACAATAAGGGTTTGGCTTCCAGGATTTTCTACTTACAAAGCACGTCTAGGCTGCAGGTTTTGGTGGAACTGTTACCAATTCCATTCCGTGCCAGGCATTGATAGTTGCCTGCTTGGCTTTGATTTATAACTGAAAAAGTGAGCTCCTCACTGCTACTAAGGACATCTCCTGTTTCTTCCCATATCCAAGTAATGTTCGGAGAAGGATTACCAGTGACATTACAATAAAGAGTTACGTTACTTCCATGAGTTATTGAGCCTGGACATTGCATGTTTAGAATCTGGGGTTCGACTAAAAAGAAAAGAAAAAGATAAGTTAAAAAACAAATTTAACAAATCTTCGTAAGAGAGTAAGGGTCTCACGTTCATTATTTACTGTCATGTAAAACAATGTTGTCCTTATGTGGAGGATAATTGCGAGAGAAAATATCTTGGCATAGAATAGTTTCCTTTCTCTTTAGACTGGTAAGTAAGAAGCTGTCGTTACGGTGACAGGTGAAGGCACGTGATACGAAAAGTGGAATCTACACTTGAAAACAGACAGACTGTACGGCCAGCTTAGCGGGTGGGATTTTTCGAACGATGGAAATACGCCTTTTTTTTTTCCAGGGGGGCACGATACGAGTCGTGGCTGGATTGCCCACTGCTTCTCTCTCTCTATACCACATTGGATGTGGTATAGAACCTGGTAGGACATCAGCACAACACGGGAACTGAAAGATCAATGGTTATAAGCTCTATCGCATTGGCTTTGGTAAGGAAGTAAGTGTTGTCCCATTAAAGCTTCCCTACTCCTCTGGTTGTGTGGGGCTAAGAGTTTACTCGATGAGAAAACTGACATTTAGGTATATACACGTGAAACACAAAAGAGCCGAAGACTACAGATTGTTGCCTTGCAAGTTGAAATTTTCGAACCATATGTGCTGGGCTAAAATTAAGATCTGAATGAGATCAGCGACACTTGTAAGACCGCAATAATTGCAATGTACTGGAAAGACTGGACATCGACACTGTTTGCGTTCTGCCCAGCTGAACGTAGCTCTATTAAAGAATCCAAGTACGCCTTCTTTTGGCAAGGTTATCAATGGATGGAGCGAGGAGACACTATGTTGGTTTTACTGTGAAAAATTCCCTCATCGCCTCCAAAGGAACACCAATACGAGGTATGGACAGAATCCTTGCTCTTCAACTTCAGGCCCTGTAAACCTCCCAAGCATCTGTGCCCTCAAAATTTATTTCTACCCTGCGGCCAAAAACCAGTTTTACGAGGCAGTGCACAACGCAAAATGTAGGCTCCCTCAAATGAAATGAATATACCTACTCGATGAAGTCTGAGCTAGAGAAGGAACTGAGAGCGAAGCTTGGTAAAATGAAAGAAACCTGAGCAAAGAGCTAGACATTCTTCATTAGGTTCGCCACACTCGGACCTACTATAGGGCAGACTGTGACTCACTTCCTTACAACCAGGAAGATGAGGTTGATACCAAAGAAGATGCACCAACAAGTACCACACGCTATCTATGCATCAACATCTGCGACACAGCTGACCTTAATAGAGTTCAACAATAAACACCTAAGTGGTCTCATTTGAAAAATGCCATGTACACCTCGGCCATCTCAGTTTTTGAGAAGAAGGAGAACTGAAGCGAAGAAAAGTGTGAGGCATACTGGGCACAGATTCAGCCTTTAACAGATGAAATAAAGAAAGCGCTATTGACTTTCAAGCCTAAATCCTGCATTAGTGTATGTGATGCCCACAGAGCCACACAGAACAAGGAAAAAGATTTCACTCGTTTCCATTCAAAATAATGCTGGTTGAAGTTGTGTGGTAGGATAAAGTAAGCCGAGCTTTAGCAGAAAAGAAACCATAAGAATGTACGAGGTTATCAAAACTGCTACTGGCCCCTCGGCCACTAAGACCGCCCTACCACCAAACAATTCATGTAATGTCCTCTGATGTCCTCCCTGATTATGCCGTAGAACGGCGAAAGCTCGGAGTGAATAAAGAAAGAACCACAGTAGCACTTAAAGGCTTCATTTGATCAATATCCCACAATTCATGTAATATTATCTCACATCAGTGCGGGCAACTGCAACGCTTGTTGGAGCATTACCTGGAGCCGTATGCAGCACAAACATGGAGATCAATGATTCCCTGCTTAGGTGAAACTAGATGACCTGCCAATGGAAGAGCTCAGCAAAGTCTGAATAATCTCCCTTGTAGAAAGACCCATTTGAAGTACGATATTGCCCTTGAGATCCTCAAGAGTGTGAAACCAGCTAAACATCTCCATGAGCTCCTACGCCTCTTTTGGGAAAAAGTTGCACCTCATATGACATGCGGGACGCCAACATTGTCACCACAGCAATTTTAGCAACTATGGTATTTCACTTCTAAGCATTCTCACCGACACGAGTAAGGTTGGTACGCACCCAATATCTCTTGATCTGGGTTTTATTCTCCTTGTCTCCTCATTTCTTAGGCTAAACGAAATAACAATTAACAATGCCTGTTACAGTCGGATTTCGCGCGACATATTGGACATTTAAGTTTGGAAATGGGCAAAGTTGCGAGATTGTCAGTTTTTACCCAGGTTGTCAGTTTTTACTCAGGTTTTGAGAATTACTGTTCGCAGCAAATTGTGATAATACAGACAGCCTGATAACGACAGGCACAGACACACACAAAGACATCTCGACCATGTGACCGAATTAATAGAGCTATTGGTTTGCAAATCACTACGCAACAAATCAGTATTCGAAGACGACTCAAGATAGAGATGATTCCTCAGAGGATTGTGCTTCGAAAGCAGAATTTTCTTTGCATGGAAAGAAAAGCCCTGATCATTTGTTCACCAATCGTCAAAAATTTGCTTTGTAATCAATATGGTAAGTTGCTAATGGTTCCGAACACAAACGTGAATCTTTCGGAAGAGATGACCTTGCAATAGCATGAATTCATGCACGTGGTAAACTGTTAGTTTTTGGGAAGCTAAAAAAGCGAAGCTTGGGATCCTGCTTGGTTTTGGCCTGACTACTGCACTCGAAAGCTACACAATGAGGTATTTTTCTGCCAGGAAAACCCCAAATACAAAAGAACGGAGCAACTAAAGAACGGAAGAACGAAAAGAAAGAACCAAAGAACCGAGCATTACGAGTCATTAACCTAAAATGCCTTGCGCACCTAACAAGATGGCGGATGCGGAAAGTTCGAACTTGCCGTGAAAGCTTGTTTTGAAGGCCCTTAGAGCCTTTTGAGCAATCTTTACTTTAAGACTGGAGGTTCCCTTCAATACAGCGGAGTAGGGGTTTTACAAAACGTTTTTCTTTTTGTTTTAAAGCAGTATAGAAAACGTTCGGGCACTAAGACCCCCAAAGTGAACAACCGTCCACCAACTCATCCCATGCGCGAAAACCAACACTTTCGGTGCGCGGAATATGACTCAGCAGGACCTCAGCCAAATGCCAAGAAAGGTCGTAAATACGAAACATTTTTACGGTAACTTTTTTTTACGACTAATGGTCAAAATATGTCAATTTTTACTTCTTAATTTTTTCGCCGTTTTATGGGTAACGGCTAATTCCCTCACTTAGCCACTTCCACACTCACTCACTCGCCTACCAGCCCACCAACCCAAGATGCAATGTGCAAAATTATGAAAAACATGCAGACTGTAATCGTCTGAAGCAAAGTAAATCTATTGCGTGGAAAAAGAAAAACTAAAGACAATTTGTAGAAATTGATTTGGAGACTTGAGACGAAGCTTTCCAAGTCAATAAAGCTTACTTCCTTTTAATTTCAATGATGATTTGTTAAAATTATGGTTTAGGTATCCTAAAAGACCAGGAAATATCACTTACGCGGAGATATTTCAATAGTGATCCATTCAAGAACAAGCTTGCGATTGGTTTCATTAATTGCCTTTTAGGCTTGCGTAAGACATTATAATCATTTTTAGAGTCATACAATGGCTAATGCACGGTACTTGAAGATGTCTTAAATTTTAAACATTGCTATCCCTTTCTCAAATACTTTGAATCAATTTTTTATAAGAAATGGTCCCCGGTCAATCTTTATTTTTCGTTATGAATATATCTTGATTTTCTCTTGTCTTTGAGAAATTGAACAAAACAAATTGATGATTACTGTTTCTAGATCTTTAGAAAAACGTGTTGCCCAGCATTAAAGTGCCGCGAGAGATTCCTACCGCGTTACGGAATGACAGGCTGTAGAAAATCGAAGTTTTTTTTTGAATTATATAACACTTCATACAATTTACGAGAATTCGATCAAATGATTTGTTTAGACTCTTCCCAGAGCAAGTGTTTTGAGAAAGGAGAAGAAAGAGTTTTGATAATTAAGATATGAATTGGTTATCATGAAAATTTACCTTTTGGCTGGCTGCACACCACACCAGCATCCATATGATTTCTACAGTAAAGAACTCCCCACCCTCCGTGACTGCACTGTGAAACTGATGTCTCATTTCCTCCACACTGTAACTCATTCAGCCATATCTGGCCTGTTGCATGTCCAAATGCTGGCCATCGTGGTGCTGATAAAGCTCCATCGTATCCAAGCTGGCGACAGACAACATCAGCTTCCTGTAGGTCCCAGCTGTACCCACAAATTCTTCCCCATGTACCACTATACTGCACTTCAACACGTCCAGAAGATGGTGAATTAGTAGGACTCACCAAACGAACTGCGATTTAAGTGAAAAAATAAGACAGCATTTTACGTTGTTTTCTAAAATGAAAACATACGATATGTCGTCACGAACGGACCATGGTCGTCATATTTCGTGACCGCTGATCTGTCGACAAACCAGCGTGTTTCTAAAGACTTGAAGACTGGAATATTCAGTCTTGATTATCACATATATTATACTTCCAATCATGTCTTATTTATTTTTTGTAACTTTAATGTGAAAAATCCAAACCTGGCGTTAAAGAGCGAGTGATGGAGATTCAAAGTGCGCAGATTTTTTCACACACTATTGCAAAGCACCACAATTAAATGACAGTGACGATGGAAGTTTATTGTATAATACGCTGGGCTGTCTCGGCAAGTCTGATTGAAGACCTAGCTGTGGCTCAAGGACTGCGACAGATTAATAGCTGGTTTTGCAGTTTCACATTAGTTTTATAAAGTAAAATGAAAAAAAATTTTTTCACTTAGAAGGTGCGGTAACGAATCCTGCAATCTGGTCGCAGGAAAGGATTTTGGTGCTTCTGCCCACAATCATGGCAATGCTTTCATGAGTTTCTGTTCGCATCAGATTGGCTGCAGAAACCAATTTTGAGGCAAGTTTATCGTATAAAAGAGAGTTGGAACCAATATCAATTCATATATTCCTTTTCGAAACACTCAGTTTTTTGGTGTTACTCCCTGTTTTGTTCACCGTACTTTTCAAAAGCCGAACCTACTAATTTTGATTAAGTACGTGAAAAACTCGACATCTGAATCCATTCACAGCTGCTACGTCGTTCCTACCGCATGGCTCACACGGTATTAATTTTCGACTCTGGAACGGCATAACAAAGGCCTAAATTCAAACACCGCACTCTTCATGTACCGAATCGAAAGCAAAAATAATTGTAAAGTGTTCTGAAGATGTGTTCCTAGAACTGTATTCGGAACAGCCATTATCGGTCACTTAGTTCGGCGGATGAGTCATCAGACTTACTTTATTGACTTTGGCCAAGTCCAAGCAAGTTTTGCTATTCGTAAGAGAACTCGGAAATCAGCAATTGTACTCTTAAACTTACTTGTGTTTTCATAAGTTTCCACTAGGGAATGAGATAAGTTGTTGCATATGTAATGAATGGCAAAAGAGGAAAAAAAATGTACGCTGGCTAACGCTTCATGACCACTAAGCTGAGTGAGGGATTAAGTTGCAGCTAAGAAAGCGTGCCCTGCAACGGGCTGATTCCATAAATGTTGCACTGTTTTGTTTGTTGTTATTTCCTTAACATTGTATTTAGGGATTTAAGTAAAAGGAATTAACTTCATAAGGTTTGGAACTTAATAATGTTTAACCTTCACCGGCGACTAACAGTAAGCTTTCAAAACAAAAATTAGATTATACTTTGACCTGTAGATGACAACTAGCTAGAAATTGAGCCTCACAGGTGAACTGGACTTAAGGAAATTGCGGAGAAAGAAGTCTGAAAATACCAGGCTTTGACTGGGTTCAGACCACAGTCTCCATGCATTTCCGTAAGTTCTTTGTTGCCAAGCTGCCAACTATAGGTTTGCAACTTCCGAAAATTCAGAGACCAAAACCCAGGAATTAGATTTAAAGAGCTAATATAATTTCAGAGTAATGGGATGTAAGATTATAATTCAATGACCTTTCAGTCGACGGCACACTGCACCAGCGTCTTCATGATGCCCACAGTTCTCAGTTCCCCAACCTCTGTGACGGCACTGTGATATCAATGTCTCATTTCCTACACAATTAACGTCATCCAGCCATATCTGACCAGTTCCATGTCCAAACGCAGCCGATCCTGGTGCTGATAAAGCTTCTTCAAATCCAAGCTGGCGACAAACTACATCAGCGTCCTGTAGGTCCCACAGGTCATCACAAATGGTTCCCCATGTACCGTTGTAAAACACTTCAACACGACCAGCTGACGTTGAATTGGCGTGATTCATCAAACGAACTGTTTTTTTATTACGGGAATGACAGTTGACCAGTTAGCAGGAACTTCATAAATGCGATGTGGTGAAATTATAATAAGAATAATAGGAAATAAATTGTATTGCTTTTGCAAAACTGGACCCTTGAAAGTTCCCGTAACTCGTTTTCATATTCATGTTTTAGCTTCCACGAATAATATTTTTACTTCATTATCTTTATATATATTTTATATGGGCCACATTGGAAACAAGACTCATCTGTTCAAACACATCAAAGTCTTAATTTCAGGCTACTCTAAAACAGCCCTTCCTTAGTATTGATTTACTGAAAATCGCGTCACTTTCACTAATCCTTTTGAACTTGTGTCATCGCCTTACCTGGGGGTCGGCACACGACACCAGCGTCTTCCAAGTGCCTACAGTTGTGGATTTCCCATCCTACGTGCTGACAGTCCGATATCGAAATCTCAACCCCTACACATTGCACGTTATCCAGCCATATCGGACCAGTTCCTTGTCCAAATACTGCCCATTTTGTTGCTAATAAAGCTCCGTCGTATCCAAGCTGGCGACAAACTACATCAGCGTCCTGTAAGTCCCATGAATCATCACAAATGGTTCCCCATGTACCCCTGTACAACACTTCAACACGACCAGAAGATGGTGAATTGGTGGAACTCACCAAACGAATGGCTGTTACAGTGAAAGTAGAAATTAATCAAGTATCGTAGTAAGCTAAACACAAATTATTAACTAAGTCTTAATATCAAATTGTGATTACTTGCCCAACGAATCACGAATTTCAGTAATTAGAGTGGGCCTTCCTAGTTTTTTTTTTGTGAACAGTAATTATAATATAATACATTCCTGACAGGTTTCTTAGCAAAGTAGAAACCTGAAACTAACCTTAACTTAAGAGTCTATTAAAACTGTAACGCAAATTGCGTTTTAAACTTTATTTAGCAAAGCCAGTCACTTTCGATTTCGACTTGTTAAAATTCCATCTCGGTAGCCCCCACCATTTTTAAGAAGAGAAGAAAGGATGACCACCGGGTCACTATCGCCCGATTCTTCCCAAAACATTCAAAACATTAGACGCGGATCCGTCTTGGTGTCTACCATTGCGATGCAATCTTTGACTTGTTGTTAGGATTTAGAAATGTCAACGCTTTCAAAACAATTGGGCATGCTGTTAGTTACAAAATGTTAGGGTGTATCGAAATTTACGGTCTGAGACCATGACAGAAGACGGACCTCTTTCATGATCTGCATTCTTAAAATCAGTTTCTGATTCTTCCAGCCCATAGTCTGGTTTCCCTTTTACGAACAAACAGAACTGAAATACGCTAGGTTCTAAAGGATCAAAATTTCTACTAGGTACCAGGGAGGCTTAAGCTGGCGACACACCTTCCGCTTTTATACGACGATTGCAGCGATCGGGAAAAATCGCCAGTTGTGCCCAGTGCAGCGATTGCAACTTCCACCGATCGCCGCAATCGGCGTATAAAATCGCCGATATCTGGTATGCCAGATATCGGCATAAAATTGCCAGGTGTATCGACGGCTTTATTAATTCTTCATCGGCTAACGAAAAAATCCACTGAAAGGAGTTTCACAGGGTTAACAAAGAGTTAAAGAAGGCTTGATATAAGCCAAGTTCTGATCTTGGGTTTCTATAGACCAACACAAAATTGATGACTGTCGAAATGAAAAAAAAGGAGTAGCCGATATCCAGCCATCTTGACTGAAAGACCCTAAAAAAACATCACGCTATTTCTAAATACATTTACTAGTCACGTCATACTCTATTGGTTTTGATTGTGATGAGATGTGGATGTGACCCTATTTTTGGGAGCTTAGCTGGAAAACTTCTATTTCAAAAGAAAAAAATTATCTTTAGGTTATGAGGTATGCAAACTGAGAATGAGCATTTGTTTTTTTTTGAGAATCATGAAGCGGCTTACTTGTCCCCTCGGTAACATCACGGAACTGGCCTCATCTGACTGGCCTGCTCGTGGCCTCGGCCAAATGAAATCGGTTGGGTCAAAAGATACATTCTTCCTCGAGACCAGTACTTAACCCAAGTTTCATTATACAAAATGCATCATGAATTCCCTCGGCAAATATGTACTTGTAATATACAAATGTAATGTATTTTGTGCAAGTTGTCGAGTTACCTGAGGGTTGGCAAACTGCACCAGCGTCTTCACTATGCCCACAGTTTTCAATTCCCCATCCTCTGTGACGGCACTGCGCTAACAGTGTCTCATTTCCTACACAATTAACGTCATCCAGCCATATCTGACCTGTTCCTTGTCCAAATGCTGCATATCTAGGCGCCGATATAGCTCCATCGTATCCAAGCTGGCGACAGACTACATGAGCGTCCTGTAAGTCCCAATAGTCGTCACAAATGGTTCCCCATGAACCATTGTAAAAAACTTCAACGCGACCAGAAGATGGCAAATTGGCCGGACTTACCAAACGAACTGTGATTAAAAAGAGAGAGAAGTCAACCCATTTTAGGGACTGTATTGAAAATTCTGTGGTCCAAAGGGTATAGGTTTCTTTAAAGTTTATAGCTGTTATATTTAACCAGCTGATATGGAGCTGGTATAGTCGACGGAACATTTTCATCAAAGTGGAAGAGAACCTCTCAAGGTTTTTTCTGATTTGACTTAATCGTTTTTAAACCATTACCAAGAGATCCCAGTTTCACTGCGATAGAATGTGGTTCAACGACATCTCTTCGAAGTAGCATTCGTGTCATGAGAAAAGAATGGGTTTTTTAAATTTGACAAATCTACTTTGTAGATATATCATCGCCTTACTTGTGGGTCGGCACACTACACCAGCGTCATAATTATGCCAACAGTCGTGATCTCCCCATCCAATGTGCACGCATTCTGATATCGATGACTCATTTCCCACACATCTTACTTCATTCAACCATACCGGACCTGTTCTTGGTCCAGATCCTGCGTTGCGAAATGCTGCTAAAGCTTTTTCGAATCCAAGCTGGTGACAAACGACATCAGCGTCTTGAAAGTCCCAAGAATTGCCACAAATGGTTCCCCATACACCTTTGTGCTGCACTTCAACACGACCAGAACGTGACGAATTGTAAGAATTCATAACACGGACAGCTGTTATCGTCGAAATAAAAGTAAACCGGTAGAACCATAGAATTAAAGATCCAAATAACGTAAGACAGACTATGGTTGTTCGAAGAACAGTAATAGGGCGAATACGTTTAATAGATAATGATAATCATGGCAATAATACTAACAATAATAATAAAGATGATATTAATACACTTTTAAGTTTATGTTGTCGGATTTTTCCTAATCTACGTGAACTTTGTGAATGTTTGATTCTACACCATGGAAAATAAAACTCTGAGCTTTCGACTCTCCTAGATTCCTGTATACAATAATTTGGTCCGATAACTTGACATGTGACCTGAACAGCTTCGTTCAGATCGTCGGAAGGTTGTTTCTGCCCGCGTCTCTTCTTAAGGTTGGCTTGGGGCACTGATGTTGCCTGCAAAACTGGCGTGACTTAAGCAAGCGTGCTCTCAGCTTTTTTTTGGGTGAAATTATAGCTGCCTTCTTTGATTTTCACAGAAGCGGAAGTGCGTGGGAGAAAAAAGGTCATTGCAAACTGTCGCAGGTGAAAATTTTAATTTCCATCATACTACCTAGGAAGCTGCCAAGTTTTTTCGGAATATGATATGTCTCCCGCATTTCTAGCGGATAAAAAGGAACGCTTTTTCCATACTGCTCTCCGCAAAACGGATCTTCTTGGAGTGTTACCACCTGGCTGCGAAGAAGCTTGATATGTAAGGTACCGGTCTGCATCAGCTGCCGTTTGTCCGCTTTAAAGTATCGTTTACGATCAAATGGAATAGGCATATTCCATTTGATTAACGGTAGCCACACTCACGGATTGTCATTTGGGAGCTATGGAGCGTGCGTCTGTTTTTGTCGGAATGCAGAGCCTCCGGACTTTAAATAAAATCGTCTGATTGGTTATTCACTCAATTCCGGAAATGCAGTGAAGCGCAGCCAATCGAGGATGTTTCACTTTTACACAGCCTTTTCGGACAAGTGCGTCAAACCCAAATAGTTTGTGCCAGTAAAAGTAGCCTATTACACTAATAGCATTGCTCGATTTTTTCCAAATTATGCTCCAAATTATGCTCGTCTTTGAAAATCATGCTACTTTTTTTAAAGTATGCTTTTCGAAAAAGAAACAAAAAACAAGTCAAAATTACATATTTATTGTTAATAAAGCATGATGTCTTCTTATTTTGAGTTACGTACTTGCTGTGATAAAAATAATGAATTATTTTACTTAATTCCACACACTTGAAGCGGTGACTCATGAGTCAAAAAGTACGTTGTTAGCATTATGTTTCTCTTTAACGCCATTTTGCTGTCTGTGAAAGCGGGAACTGGGACCGACGCAATAGTTACTTCCGGTGTGCCCAGTCCTCTGGACGACGCACAGATCAGTGTTGCGATAACTTTCTTCCCCCCTAGACATTGAAAAACTGGAAACAGACTGAACCACGGACCGAACCTGAAAATAGTCGATCTTAGAGACCAAAAAGATGACCGACCGTAAAAACGAATGTGAGCTCTTGTAGACTGTTGAAAGTTCATCCTTTTCATCTAATGCTATTAGCAATTGGAATGATTAACAACTCTTTTTTATTTCTTTGGTTACTGTGCTTTGAGAACAGCCAGAATTTAAATGGTAACTTCACTAGGGAATGCTTAAGTTTAAGGAGAAACAGAAATGGTTTATTTCCTAGTATTGGAAAGATTTCGAGAGAGAAATCAACTATGAAGTTACGATTTCAAGTTGATTGAAGTACTTGCCACAACAAGAGGGCTCACTTTCGTCTTTTTTCTCTAAGTGTGGCTTGGAAAGTACAATCAGAGCTTCACATTGCAAAAAGTGAAAGCTGATAATGGGGTCCAAGATAAAAACAAAGAGATGATTCAGGTCGCGCTGCCTTTATAACATCAACTCGGGTGCTTCGATAAATTCTACTGCATTAATTATCGAAAGAAGTGGAGACGCACATCCACAATCTGGAACTGTACCTGGCAAGATTTCACTCAGCGATATAAACTTCAGAGATCGACTCATTCAGCTTGCCCAAACGGAACCGAACAAAAATTTTACCCCAAATCCTTCGAGATGGAATGGCGGAAAATTACCCCAAATCCTGAAATACGGAACGGCGGAAAATTACCCAAAATCTTGAAAGACGGAATGGCGGAAAATCACTCCAAATCCTAAAAGACAGAACTATAAATACGGTATTTTCCTTTGGTACGTTTAACGGGTAGGGGTGGGGGGATAAGACCTGTAAACAAAAACTCGTATCATATCAACCAGGCGACAGAAATATCTTTTGTAGACTACACTCGTCAGCCGATAGCGAAAACACAGAAGCGGTATTTGAAAGATACACTGACAAACAAATCTATCAATGCATAGAAAGCACTTAAGTCCCACAAAGTGCAGTTTTAGTCTCTATGGATGTAACCAGCCTGTGCACGAATATTTTGCAAGAGGAAGGAATTGAAAGCCTTGTACTTTGGAGAACCTCAATGCCAACAAACTAGTTTAGAGAAATACCTAGACTCATACCGAAGGAGAATTCATTTGAACTCAGTGGGATAAACCATATATATCTTCAAACACAAAGCACCACTTTGGGCACAAAAATGGCTATTGTTTCTACCAACATAATAATGTCTAAGATAGAAAATGAACTAACTAGCGCAAGCTCCATCGAACCTCTCCCTCTTGCTATTCTTTGAGGGACTTTACAGAATAATTATTAACAGCCTGTATTGTAGGATGAAACAGTAATTTAGTACTTGAGATAAGTGATTCTTCGACATGGAGGTCGATTATCAAATCTTGTTATTCTATGGCAAGGTAGTCTTAAGGTAAATCCGAGCGCTCTGATGGTTTCTTACTAGGTTGGGAATTTTGCCATACGGACCGTTTCTACGAAAATAATCTCGAAAGCCGGTAAATTCAAATAAATAAGTTTTGTCCGAGTGCCATATCTCTATCTAGTTATCGACTTCGCTCGCTCGGTCCGCGCTGAATAATGTTAGTCGTTTTTGTACGGATCACCTTGTGCTCGATCCGTACCTGCCACGACCTCAGGCAAATATTCCCCAGTACGGCGCTCGCGCTCGGTTGGTAAGGAGGTGATATTTCTGGGTAAAAGTGGATAACCAAACACAAAAATAATGGTTAGTTTACTTATCTCTTCTGAGAAATGAAGTCTTTTCCATGATGATAAAATATTTTGTTTAATTTTTTCAGTTGTCTGCGTGGGTTTTTTTTTTTACTCCGGCTCTAATGTGATGGTGCAGTTATATCGATTCCCGGTTTCAAATCACTGACGTATCTATCATTATCATTAACGTCATTGCTAACACTAAAGAGCTACGCCCTGAATTTACAGTGCCTTGTAAAGGGTTATATTTATGTGTGTGGGTCGTCATCATACCTGCAGGTCGGCACACGACACCAGCGTCTTCATAATGCCCACAGTTGTGATCTCCCCATCCTCTGTGACGGCATCGCGCTAACAGTGTCTCATTTCCTACACAATTGACGTCATCCAGCCATATCTGGCCTTTTCCTTGTCCAAATGCTGCACGTCTTGGAGCTGATAAAGCTCCTTCGAATGCAAGCTGACGACAAACAACATCAGCGTCCTGTAAGTCCCAAGAGTCGTCACAAATGGTTCCCCATGTATTATTGTAAAACACCTCAACACGACCAGAAGACGATGACTTGGTGGGGCTCACCAAACGCACTGTTATTAAAGAGAGAAAAGTTTGAGTATTTCACGGACTGCATTTGCATTTATTTGGGTTTAAGAGAGGATGAAAGGAGAGAACTTTTCCCGTCAAGGTGCAGCTATTTTGAGAACAAAAGCCAATTGGAAAGTGGTGCAATGAGAAAATTTGATGTGTGAAATTTGGCGGCTTGCGGTTCTCACGGCTATTCTGGGGATATTGTTGCGTTGTCCACTATGATGAGGTGATGAAATATTTGGGCTGAGCCGTCAAAAACGCGAGCTGTAAAAGCGTTACGTCTGAGGTCTTTTCTACATGCCCGAGAATATACTCTAAAAGTTTAATCAGAGGGTTCGGATGGACGAGGATGTCTTACAATCGTCCATTCAAGCAAATTTCCTCCCAGGTTATCTTTTATTAAGCAATAGTGATTTCAAATGCTACATATCTTAACTTCGCGGGTATTTAACAGCCGATCCACAAAAAAAGGACCTATGAGAGAACAACAGCTACTTGTCGGAACAGTGACGAGGATCGAAACGCACCAATGACAGCTCACCAAAACGCACCAATGACAACAAACGCAGGTGCTACATATGGCGACATCTAAAACTTTCGACCTCGTCGCCTGACGAAGACTATCAGTTTAGCAGTCGAAACGGCACGTTCAACTGATATTGATCACGAGATATTACTAACTAAAATGAATTGGTGTGGTCTTCAAGGGAAAGCTCTTGATTGGTTTAAATCGTATTTGACGAATCGCACACAACGGTGCTCAGTTAACGGTTGTCTCGTCAAACTCAGAACGTTTTAATGGTTTTCAAGTCTTTTTACGGTCTGGTTCCCGAATATCTCACGTCTAAATTTTTAAAGCGAAATGAATCAAACTATTCTCTGAGGGACTCGGTAAACAAACTTGCTGTCCCCTTTCCAAGAACTAACTACATGAAAAATAGTTTTAGTTATGGCGGCGCAATCCTTTGGAATAGCTTACCCTGTAACATCAGAGAGTCTGGTTCATTAAACCAATTTAAACACCTTCTTTATCATAATTTTTAAACACGGCATTCATGGAAATCAGGTTTTTAAGTGGCACATTGTTGTAAGTTAATATAATGTTAGGATTAGGATTTTTAGGTTCTCAAGATATTAGTTATTGTATCGGAATTTTTAAGTACCTGGTGAATTGTTTTTACCGTGTACAAGTAATGATTACATAAATAAGTAAAATTGATTGCCCGACTCTTTGTCAGGAGACAAACGATAAAATATCTATTAAGTTATTCACCACGATGAATAATAAAATATTCTCTATCATTTTCAAACCTGCCTCGAAGCAGGAATATTTTTTAGTGTCTTGAAAATGAACTAATATATTTCCACCTCAAGAGAGACAGTTTATTCAGATTTCCATGATCTGATCACAAATTGACTTACGGTATCTCGAATTGTCAACTTTCTGGAGGAATCGACTTAATTTGGGTTTATTGGACAACCCCCGAAAAAATGATTAACATGTAATCACAAAAATAAATAACAGGATATGTATCGACAAATACACAAGCTATCAACTTGTTCCACCTGTAAGTTCCATTTTGTGTTATGTGTCTTGTGTCTGTTAGTGTTAGTCATCTGAATATCTAGATTCACACAAAATTCCTGAAAATACATTTTGTGCAGTCCTTAAAATTGCCATTAACTGGTTCCTTGTAGTCAAAATGTTTTAGTAACTTTTCAACCCTTGTTACAGTTTATCTTGGAAAATAAAAGGTGTATCAGGTGTATTTTCAAATTTGCCTCATGAAATCGCGAAAATAAAACCCCGCAAAATACTGTCTCGCTAAAATCGCGAAATTAAGTACGAATAAAAATGGTAATTCATTTGAAGAAAAATTTACGTGAGCCAAGTGGATCTCCCTTCTGAACGCTCAAGTACCGTCAATTACTGAGCACTAAGCTCGATCAGTGTAGCGGCTTCTTACTTTGTAAATTGGTAGAGAATTTGAAGAGAAGGACTGCTTACATGAGGTCGGGTGGTTTTTGAGAAGATTAAAACATCAATGGAAATTGACCGATGATAAGGCTTCGGAGGGGAGTGTCATTAGTAAATTTCATTAGTAAATTTTTTGCAAATTGAGGAGGGTCAAACCTGTTTTATTCACAACCGGGAGAGGGTCACAGTTTTTTTCGGCGAGGAAAAAAATTACTCCATGTCGCTTAGTTGACTCTTATTTGTTAGCAAATAGGCGAGGTGTATAGCGCGTTTCCCTTTTTCAATGGGAAAATTGACGCCACTCCGTCTCGAGCCTTAATTTACCGGCTTTCAAGAAAAAAACTGCACGGCTTGAGATCATTTTCGTAGAAACGGTCCGTATGGAAAATTCCCGA